TTCTTCTTCTTCTTTCTTTCTCTCTCTCTGCTCTCAAGTTCATTCATTTCTTTTTGCAATGGGACGGCATTGTACTTTCTGATGAATGTATACTTTGATATTGGCCAGGATCGTAACAGGGTGAAAAAAATGGAGAGGGGTGGGGTGTGGTGGCAAGCCTGGTCCCTCCCCTCTCAAAAATACCAGCTCTCAAGACGTTGGCCCTTGACAATTGTGTGTGTGTGTGTGTGTGTGTGTGTGTGTGTGTGTGTGTGTGTGTGTGTGTACCATTCATTTGCAGAGGTCGTGACAGTAATAATATTTTGCCCATTTCTATAGCCCTTGACCCCGCGACCGCTGAGATTTTGCCAAGAGAGAACTGAATGTTACAAATGTGATCCAGACTCTCTCTCTCTCTCTCTCTCTCTCTCTCTCTCTCTCTCTCTCTCTCTCTCTCTCTCTCTCTCTCTCACTCTCTCTCTCTCTCTCTCCTCTCTCTCTCTCTCTCTCTCTCTCTCTCGTTTATTGTGGAATGGATTTGAGGTGCAGCTAAAGGCAAGAACGATCAGCTTCATTGGCGAGTAGGGTAGTGGCATCATCTGGAAAGATAAAAGATGTGCACTACTATATCCTCTGTTCCTGTGACCAGGGAAAGTGGTGCGTTCTACAGGGAGGCAGGAGAAGGGATTAAAAGAAAAAAGAAATGCTGATTCTTGTGAATTGCTGGTGGGTGTGCTTCTTTCTGCAGGAATTTCAAATAGCACCATCTGTAGCACCAGAAAAGGCAGACTTCTTACGAAATGTGCTCATTCCAACTGTTGTGAGGTATGATGGCCAGTTGGTGCTTTGGAATTTCATCTTTATAACTGCCCCTTTGTCAAGTACTCGTATTTTCTCTGCCCTCGCATCCCCCTTTAAGTCTGGTTGACATCGGTAGGCTAGCTAACTGGTGTTCACTGACTGTGCTATGATCCTGCTCGTTTCATGTTACAAAACTCAAATGTGAGACAGTGCCATCCATCACAACTCAAATGGAAGAAGACTGAGTGGAGGAGAGAAGAAGAATGAAGGAGAGAAGAGGAAGAACACAAGTTGGAACCAATGTCAACTCCCTCCAAAACTTGTCACCATCATTTCTCCCTCATCATCACCTCTCCCTCTTCGAAAAGAAAGTAAAAAAATAATAATGAATGAATGAACAAGTCCCGGCACAGCAAATACTAGAGGAGGACCGATGTACAGGCTTAGTCAAGGCTTTCATCTCCATCGACCTGGAAAAGGCATATGATCGGGTCAGATGGGAGTGCCTCCTGCAGGGGATGGCACAGAGGGAATAGGGGCAATTTATCGCCACTGGGTGAGAAGTTTGCTGAAGGGAGTCACGACAGTGATGCAAGTTAATGGGGTCAGGTTGGACAAGTTGAAGGTGACCAGATCTGTGCGGCAAGGGTGCCCCTGTCCCCAGCCCTCTGTGTCATCTACATAGAAGCTATGCACGTTATTCTGAGAGCAGATGAACGGCTACTTGCCATGAAAGCCGGCCCAACTGAGGAACTGCAGACCACAGCTTTTGCGGACGACTCAGGAGCAGTGATTGCCCCGACAGCTCACCAATTGGGAATACTGAAGGAGGATCTCGATATCCTTTGCAAGTATTCGGGTGCGCGGGTGAACTGGAGGAAGTCAAAGGCAATTTTGCCCCCGGAGGTGGACGTACCGGAAGGATGGGACATCCCGACAGTGGACGAGGGATAGATGTCCTTCATGGCCGCCAACTTGATACCAAGCTTCGGGGGAAGAGAACAGATGGCAATCAGAGCCACGGCAGCGGTGGCCCGACTAAAGGCATGGAGTGCGAGGGGCAGCATGGGGGTATTTGGGAAGGCTCTTGTCATCAAGAATTCTGTCCTTGCGACCGTGTGGTATGCGGGTGGAGTGCATATGCCAGGCAAGCGTACCTTCAGATAGTTAAAGAGGGCAATACATGCACACATACGGTCGAACGACGCAGAAGCACAAGACTCTATCTGCAGAGTCGCCTGGACTAAGCTCATCCAGTCGAGGCAGTTTGGGGACCTGGGCCTATTGGACCGAAGACAGCAGATCATCGCCCTGCAGCTGCCCCACAGCTGCTTTGGTACCTGCTGGGAACAATAGGGGGTGTCTGGCAGGAAGTTGCCCGGACACGTTTGGTCTATGTGCTCCAAGTTCCGAGAGAGACGGTCGACCTCTGTTTGATCAGCAGCACAACAATAGGCCACATTCGCAGAGACACGTTATGGGCAACCAAATTGGCATTGTGGAAGAAGATACGGTTAAGCTGCCACCTGCCGGCAACTACCGACGCCGTCTACAACCAGCTGCTGTTCGACAGTACATTTATCTGTGATGAGACCGGCGACCCCTATCCCTGGCAGGGCCCGTGAGGGGCATTTGGATGGAAGTGGGCCGAGCAAGGAGTTTATAAGGTGGGGCACTTATGGGACAAACGCCGAAAGGACTGGCGCTCTGACAATGACATGATGGAAGCCTGACGGATGAGACGAAGACAAAGACTGCAAGATCTGAGAGAAGCCAGTTCCCCCCCACTGGGTGGAGCTGCTCAGGAAGGACGAGGTAATAACGGGTGAGTGAGTGAAAGTGAGGGGAGTGCAGAGACCCGAGATGATATACATGGTAGAACGGGTGGTGGCGGATGGGAGGCTGGAAGTCACCGGCTGGCGGGCGTATTCGGGCTACGAAGGCCTGGGATCTGCACTGCAGGAGATTGCTAATCAGGGAGGCCCCGCCCCCACGGTGGTGGACAAATATTTTTGAGACGTTGTTGGTCTGTGAAGCAGGAAAGGAAGGGGAAGGAAGCTACTCACCATTTCGGCTGGCGACAAGGAGACGGGACCTCACATGGGACCCAAAGGAGTGGGAATGGTCAGCTCAAAGGCTGCAGACGAGAGCAGTCCCGCTCCAGAACTTATCCACAAAAAATATTTACAATTCTCTGCTGGAGCAGGTGGATATTTGTGGAGAACTCAGGGACCGCTGGGCTAAAAGGAGCTGGCTCCCAGGTGTACACTTCAACAGATGGGCGAGGAAGAGGTGGAATGAGCAATGTGCCATCTTGACAGCCCTGCCGGATCGGAAACAGGCTGGCCTGCTATGGCAAATCACCTGGCTGTCCCGACAGCACAATGGTTGGCACTTAGGAGCCGACACAAGGATCAGGAATGCGCTGTGCGGTGTGGACAAGTGGAGACGGTCCCCCATCTGTTTGTGCGGTGTCCGATTGTCAGGGCGTTCTGGGAATGGTGGGCACATCATGTGGCAGATGGCTCACCGCTGAATGTCACAGAGATGGATGATGCTGCTATTCTCTCTCCTGGGGCCCCTGATGAAGGTGGATAGGTCCAGAAAGGAAGATATGCTGGCTGCTGACACAGTACGGGCAGCGGCAATATGGGCCCTGTGGAGCCTGGGGAAGGAACGATGCAGACAGGGAACATCCCCACCGCTCCAAGCCTATCAAGAGAGGGTGCTGGAAGGCATTAGGCTCGCCCTAATGGTTGACCTGTGGAGAGCAGCCGCACAGAGGAACAAGGGAAACATGCGTTCTGGGAAGATGGAGCCCGTACCCGCAGCTGCTTGACCGAGACCCCCAAACGGGCCGAATGCAGTTTGGCCCGATTGTAATGCACCAAGTGCCAAGACCCCAGGGGGGTAAGAGGTTTAAATGCGGTCATGGAAAAGTTGTGCCAAGAAAATGCTGGGGACAGAACATGGTAATTAGGTAGACACGTGTACTGAAGGATTCAATGCGGTGGGGGCCACTGTGGGTATAGATAGGCTAAAAACCCTTACTGCAGGCAAATATGACCAAGGATGAGGAGTAGGGAGTAGGGAGTAGGGAATAAAGGTAGGAAACCGGAAGGTAGGAGACGCAGGACAGTAAAGACAGAAGGACTCAGGGACGCTGATGACGTGGGGATATGAGGTAGAGGGAATGTGGGGCCCAGGTAGATGTGGTGGGAATGAGTGAAGTAACATGCAGCCAGAGGGGCTGGCAGGGCATCCCTGCCCCCCGTGCCTTGACCCCTTGGGGTTTATCCTGCAGTGGGGCTGGGTGCTGCTACCAAGCTTCCCAACTTGCAGGATAACCCCCAAGGAAAGGCCAAAGGGCGGGAGTGGATGGCGCTGTAGCAACCTTCCCTTGAACAGGCGGCTCGAGGGGAAGCCTGTCTCTCTTTTCTGTCTGATCTCTCCCTCTGCTTGTTTCAATTGTTTCAACAACTTTGCTTGTCGGTGATAAGCAACCAGACTGATGCCCCCCAGAATAGAAGAAGCTGGGAGTAGGTGGAAAAAAAAAAAAAAAAAAAAAAAAGAACGAACAAAAATGAATGTCCTGATGATTCCCCTTACTGCCAGACTTGAAAGAGCTCTTCTTTAGCTCGGTCCCTCTCTCCTCTACTTGGTGTGGCTACTAGCTATGGTGGTACATCTTGAGCTAGCTCAGATGTTCGAAGGACAATGTAACCACTCTCGTGCCTTCTCCTCTCGTCTATTTCCATGCCTGTCCTGCAGATGAATAGAACATACATGATAGATCGATTATTTGCATTCCATTCAGTGCCAACCAGCAAAAAGTCCACCATAGTCAAAGGGAATCTCCTTGCCAGTTTCCACCTCCACCCTCCTTCAACCTATCTCCATCACCATGGCCCGGCTGGAAGGTCTTCTCGCTCTACCTCGATAGCCTAGGGCCTCTCCTATCTCCCTAGTACTCTCCATATCCATGGACGCCTTCTTCACCCTCAAACTCCACCTTAACCTCCAGGAGCTTGGGCAACCTCTCCCTCTGGGCAGAGCAGCAGCATGACTGCATGGCAAATGAAAAGAGGGCCGCTCTACTCATCGCACCAAGCGATATACTTTGGCTGCCTGGCGTCCAGTACGTCTTGGCCAGCACTGCCTACGTCTACCCGGCCTCCTTTGGGTGGACTAGTCCTACCGGGTGTTCCTGGTTTTTGGTGGGGAAATCATTGCAGATTGATATCTACCTACCGACCTGGAATCTAGACTTCTAGCAGCCTATATTCAGGCCCTGGCTCATGATTACCCACTGGACATTTACTGAACCCTGGAGGCCCAACCAACTTGCTGGAAAATCCCTACCAGGCCTCTAACAAATTCTGCTCATATCCGTGGCGGCTGCAATCAGACTCGCTCTCATTCACACTTCTCATGCATGCAAACAGCTGCGCAGCAAACTGGCGACAAGCGCCCACTCAGAGCTCAGAGATATGGTAACCGAGCACACGGTTCAGATACAAGTTCACTTCGAAGGCTATGGCGACTCAGCGCCCACACAACTCTTTGTTAGCATACACAGGATCACCCTGGATATCCCACACGCGATACTCTGAACACACACACACACACACACACACTGAACTCTATCTACTGCTATGGTGGCTATGGCCGCTACTACCCTATCGCTATGGCTAGCTCCTTCTCTCTCGCCCACTTCGTCCTCGGGCTCACTGCAGACCACCTCGCACAAGTCGCTTGTGGCAGCGCTTCCGCATGGCTCACGCAGGAATGAATGAATGACTGGGCGCTGCCTCTTGATTTATACTTCTGCAGCTCGTTGGTCTGGCCCCTTTCCCATGCCCGTAGTGCACACAGTCCCATGCGGTACTTGCTTGACTGGACCAGGACTGACTAGGACTGGGACTGCTGACTCAGCTCGGGTAGACTCCACCACTTGCCCACTTGCCTCACCACTTGCCCACTTGCCTCAGCCTAAACGTGGGCAACTTCGAAAGGCCACTACT